CTCGCCCACCATACCCACCCCCTTCATGCCCCTCCATGGACCCGCCCATCCCCATCCCCTGGTCCATCCACCGAGCCGTCTTCACCCATCCCTGTCCGTGCATCCCTCCACTCGGAGACCGATCCATCCATCTCTGGCCATCTGCCTGCATGCATCCCGTGATAGATCCATCTACCCGCTCCTACCCGTGCGTCCACCCATTGCTAGACCAGTCCATCCGTCCATCCCCGCAATGCTCTGTGAAGTTTCTCTGGGCAGGTCTGAGCCTGCAGGCCCCCTCCCAGCAGAGCCCCAGGCCCAGGCAGGCACGAGGCTTGGAAGAAGCAGGCCGCAGCGCCACACAAGCGGCGCTGCCCGGGGGGAACAGCGGGTTCAGGAACCCAAGTCCTCCGAGGGTCGCAGGATCTGCTGCTAGGTGGGAGGGACCAGAGGTCTGCATCGAAGAGGGGCAGGAGAGGGAGGAACAGGGCGGGAAGAGCCGCTGGGTCCCTGACCCCAGATGCGCGCGGGTGCAGACAAGCCTGTGGTGCGGCCTCTCTCGGGAGCCAACTCCGGCCCATCCGGACAGGTTCCATGTCAGGAAGCCCTTCCACACCCTGCTGCTCTGCCCAGTAGAAACCTTTCCACTGGTTTTGCTGGGTTTTTGATCAAGCCTTGACAGCCCCAAAACACACCGACCGGTTATGGAAGAGAATAGCCTTCAGCATTAATTCCCGGCCCACTTATCTCTCTCGGTCCCCGTGCCAGCATTGTCCATCAGCTTCCACAGCTCTTTTCCTTCCTCAGTGTTTGTCCCCCTGCCGTACAGGCCAGCACATAACACAATCCGGTGCCCGAGTCAGCACCAGTCGGCAGATCCCTTGCACACGGCATCTCCCTGAAAAGCAAAACCAGAGCGTGGCCCGGGATGCATTTCCACCGGAGAATGGAGTCAGCTATCACAGCTCGTTCGCTGCAGCGACTGGGTGTCTGTAAAGGGGCAGAAGCTCAGCCTGGGAAGTTCAGCGGCATATAAAAGGTTTCTGAAGGCGGAGATGGCATCCCCTGGTTACCCGCAGCACGCCACGCTGCTGGAAAAGCCCCGGCACTGAGGAATCTCCGTGGAAAGAGGAAGCCGAGAATCCTCCTCCCGCCCGCGCTGCGTCCTCGTTTCCAGGCGGCACGGCCTCCCCTGCGTGCACCCCAGACCCACTGACCCCGTGCTGCTCCAGCCCCTCGGGACCCATTCCCGGGGCCCCGGCCCTGTGCTCGGGGCTCCCAGTGGGAAAACGGGTCTGTCGCAAAGGCTTAGATGCCGTTTGCAGCTCTGGCTCGGGCTCCTCGCTCCAAGTCAGGTGGGTTTTAGACCACACGCGAGCGGCTGCTATGAAGCCGCCAGGGTTTCCGACTCTCTGGTGAGGGTTTATTTTTCTGCACCAGGTGCTGGAGTCCTGTGACGATGGGGACCTGCCACTTCGTGTCCCTTTGCTGAGTTAAGAGCCGTTCCATTTTAATCTCCACGGGCCTGTGAAGGGGCATGGAGCCAGACACGTGTGATCGCGGGAGGTTTGGGGTCAGCTTGGCTGTGTTTCTGCTCTGCTGCTGTCACACAAAAGACCCACCCGTGCCATGCGCTGTGGCTGTGGTCCTGTTCCCAGCACAGTTTCTTCAGGATTTCCTGACCCCTTTTCCCCTTTCGGTACCACGGTTCTGTCCCCACCGCTCATACCATGGGCCAAGCTGGGCCCTAGGCGATGGAGACTGAACAGGCTCACAGGGCAGAAGCTAAACCAGTAACTCCATTATTGCCACTCCTCCTCTTCCCATTTTGACCTAGTGAGAAAGCACTGGGGAGCTCCAGGCGTGGAGCAAGACCCCACTGCGCAAGGTACTGTACAAATACAGAACGAAGGGACGGCTCCAGCTCTCCAGCTCTGCTCCTCCTGCTCGCCGCACCCTTCAGCTGGGAAGCGCAGGCAGGAGGGGTTACAGTCCAGGGCTTGGGGGGGGTCCCAGGCCCTGGCACTGCCACAGATTTGCCATGTGCCCCCAAGCCACTCACCACTTTCCCAGTGCCTAGCTGTAAAGTGGGAAAGATAAAGCCCTAGTGCACGGGGCTGCAGCCAGGCTGTGATGGGGGCCCTGTAAGTCCATCCGCAGAAGAGGGGCGATCCCTGGGGTGAGGGGATGAGAGAGAAAGGTGCAGAGTGAGACAAGCGTGCACCGGGGGAAGACATCCTGCATCGTGCACCACCCAGGCAAAAGTGCGGAGGTAGCTCGGACATTGCAGGAGCCAGGGAAGCCTTCGTGGGCATTGGCCGTGGGATGGGCCAAACTCTGCTCCAAGGGTGACCTCTAGCGGCTGCGCCTCTGAAGGGACCCAAGGCAAGTGGGAGGCGACGGCAGCCTTGTCAAGGGACCTTGGCCTCTTTCCTTGGCACTTCCCAGAGGTGTCGGCTCCCAGCAAAGCACTTGGCAAGGTGGAGAAGTCCTTGCTGCTTCAAGGAGGGCACTTCTGAGTGCTCAGTGGGCCCCGGGTCCTCCGCACACAGGCTGGGTCTCGCCGTAGGAGCACAGCGCAGCCAGCAAGCCACGCCTGGGGCACTTGAGAAAGAGGTGCCTATGAGACGGCTCCCTTTAAGCCAGTCCCGGTGGCTTGGCCGATGCCAGCAGGGCAGCTCCCATCTGCTCCTTCCCCAGCAGTCTCAGCTCCGCAGCCCCTCTCTCGGGGAGCGCACGGTTCCCGCAGCCCACTGGGGCAGTGGAGATGAGGACTTTGCTGTCAGGGTTGGCACGGGCTACTCGCATCCCACGTTGCACGGGTGTGCTGGAAATCTCTGCCCCTCCTGGCACCTCCTTAGCGGGAAGGCCCCCTCTCTGCCCCACCAGCTTCCCTACAAACAGCCACGCAGCAGGCAGCCCTCTGCACCTATAGCCAGGACTGTGCCGGCATCTCTAGGTGCAAGGTGCTGTACAAAAGCAAAGCAGAGCAAGCCACTGGGGATGTGACTTCCTCACAGACGTTGGCCAAACTCCATGCTACAGACCTGGTTGTTTGAACGGGCATGGGCAGCCTGCTGCCATGGGGGTGGGCTGGCTGGACGGCACAGGCTGTGGCCACAGAGGCCAGGAACGCAAACCCACCGCTCAGCGTTGATCTGAAAGCCCTGGGGGCTGCTCCCATCTGCAGCTGCTCTGCTTTTGGGGACGTGCTTTGCTGGTGCATGTAGCTCGTTGGGCAGGTCTCTGCTCTCCACCGGCCCCACGCAGACGCAGGAGAGGTGGCTGGGCATGTAGCTGCCTTTCCACACAGGGACCTACTGCAGTGTAGAGCAAGCACCAGTTAAGCAAAGGCCGTCGAGAAGTTGCAATCGTGCTTCCTGAGCAAGCCACATGCACGTGACACGGCCAGACATGCAAGCATTTGTGGCTGCAGCTAAGGAAGCAGGTGGATGAGAGCAATGAGTGACGTGACCAAGGTCCTACAGGAAGGCTACTGCAGGGCAGGGAGCTGGAGCCAGCGGTTACTGCAGGAGGGCAGAGCTGGCTGTGCCGGGTGCTCCCCAACACTGCTGTTCAACCTTGCCGCATGGCTCCCTCCCCTCCGCGGTCTTCACTAACCACAGGGTCTGTCTCCTCCCTGCATCGCCCTTGCCCCTCTCGCCCTTGCTCTGGTTTGCCTGGAAGCACTTTGGGGCAGGGACTTTCTCGAAGCATGTTCGTACAGCGCCTAGCACCGCAAGGTCTCCATCTCAGCTGGGCCTGGAGGCTGCCCAGCTACCAGCACCCCGAGGGAGGGGGCTGCCATTCATTCAGGAACCAAAGCTGGGAAGTGGTGGACGGTTTCAGCCCAAAGACGTCAATGGGGAGAGCGAGTCCCTGCCCAGCCCGGTGGGGAACTCCAGTGACACGGTGCTCAGCAAGGGCATCGTGATCGCTCTTTGCCAGGAGATGGTGGCGGAGCTGTACCCACCCTGGGGGGCACCGGGCTGTTCTGTGTTCCCCCAAATCCCCTGGAAGTAAAGCGTCGGGTCCGGTCGCCCTAAGGCTGCCCTACTATATGAGAGGGGCACAACAGGATGGGTCAGGAGCTGAGAGGGGGACCTGCACGCAGGAGGTCCCCTTCTCACCCCCCATATCAGAGGCCCTGAAGCCTAAGGGTTTAGACCCGCCCCATGGGTCCTGTAATCATCTATTCCCGTCCCGAATATTCTCATTATTACACGAGGGGCTCCCCTCCACCACGACTGAAGCCTGCTAAGCTCCTGGCTCTCGCAGCATGTCGTGGCACCGAGCGCGGCAGCTGGATGGAAGCCAGCGGCCTGCCAGCGAGTGCCACGGCTCAGGGGCTCAGCACCGCTCCAAGCGCAGGCAGACGAAGACTTTGCCGAGTGCTACTGAGCCTCTAACGGGGGCCGCAGGGTCACATGGCAGGCACTGGAATGGGGTTTGAAGGATCTGGACTTGGTTCCCAGCTCTGCCACTGGCTGTCTGGGGGACCCTGGGCAAGTCACTTAACGGGGCATGAGAGGCTGGGCCAGCTCTCAGGATACCAGGGTCCAATCCCCTCTGCTGCAGGCTGCCTGGGTCACTGTTCCCTCTTTGTCTCGGTCCCCCTCTGTAACACAGGTAGACCCTGCTTCCTACCTACCCAGCCCGGGAGGTGCCCTGCTTTGCTAGGGCCGGGAGCTGCTGTGTATGGGGGGCAGAGGGCACCTCTGCTGACCAGGGTGGGGGGTTCTCATCCATGCTTCTGAAAGCCTCCACCCTCCCGGGGTCCCACGTTCCCTCCGTGAAATGGGCTGGCAGGACACGCGAAAGGGCAGGGAAGAGCCACCGTGGCCCCGAAACTCTCCTGGCTCGGCTGGAAAAACAAAACAGCCCAGACTCCCGACCCCAAGACGCGACTCCGCCTGCTCTCTCTCGCTCCCTGCGCATTTGCCTTTTCCTGTGCACTGTTTTCAGGTTAGCGTCAAAGACCAATCAGGAAATAACTCTGCATCACATGCTCCAGCCCTGACAGTCAAGTCAGTGAATGTGGTTGAACTGCTAAGGGAGTCGCTCCCGAGCTGTGAGGGCTGCAGCTGCGCGGGACACCTACGCGGCCCCTCGACGTGGCTGGAGCCAAGCCTGGTGCATGGAAATAGGGAAGCCACGCCGGACAGGACCCCCGGCCTGAGACGCTGCGGAGGGCTGCTCTGGGGCGAGGCGATCTCGACTTGGGGGGAAGATGTTTTCAAGGAAGAAGCGGGAGCTGATGAAGACGCCGTCCATCTCGAAGAAGAGCAGGGCAGGAAGCCCCATACCGCAAGCGCTGGCGGTGAGTAGTGCTGCATCCTCTCGAGGCGCTCGATGCAAATGCGCAGGGCGGCTGCGTGGGGCTGGAGGGCAGCGCGGAGTTGCCAGGGGGAAAAGATCCCAGAAAAGCTCCGTCCGTGACCAGCCAAGGGGGAGAGACGCCTCAATGGAGGGAAGGGGAAGTGGCCGGCGGCGAGCGTCGAAGCAGACGGCGAAGCCAAGGGCGTGAGGAGCAAGGGGTGCATTGGGGGACAGGGCTGTAGGGGCAGACGGATGTAGTCACAGCCCAGCGGAGCTGGGTGAGGCCCCCAGCCCCTACCAGACAAAGGGACGGGCAGGGCCCCTCCAGGGCAGCCCTGGGGGGGACAGTTCAATAGGCAAAGAAAAGGGACGTTCCCAGCTTTGTCCTCCTCCCGGTTTGGAAAAAGGTGCACTTTCCACACCCATGTGCAGCCAGAGCCCATCCTGAACCCAGACTCTTGTCCCGGGAAGGGCGCAGGCCTCGAGGCTGCGCAGAGCCATCCGGCGGCCCCGGGCGCCCCTCTCCGCCCGCGCCCGCTCCTTGGCTGGCACGTGGGGTGGATGGGTGGGCCCGGCCGCAGTCCGAGCGCTCAGAGGGATGCTGAACAGACGTTCGGTGGGGAAGAACAGCTACAGCCCCTACTCGGTGGGGCTCAGGCAGATGGCCACAAACTCCGGCTCCCACAGGAGCACACTGGTTCCGGTCTCCTACAGACCCAACGCGTGGCTGCAGGTAGGTGGGAGCCGAGGGTGTGACCCACGGGCTGTGCTCTGCTTGTTCCTCTCCCTCCTGCTCCTTCGGGGGTGCGACGGGTGCCTGGGGCTGCGGGGGCAGCATCTCGCCGCCGAGTTCAACCCACCGCTGCAGAGAGGAACTCGCTGCCTCCCATCCTGCAGGGCTGCAACAGCAGTCAAGGCCCCCAGGACCCTGAAGGTGGTTTCAGGGCTGGGTCTTGGGCTAAGAAAGGGTCTTATTGGGTCTCCTGGCTTGGGGGTTGCCTGCAGCCAGGCCTTTCAGATGGCCTCACTTGGCCTTCCTGGACAGCGGTCACTAGCAGCCTCCTGGGGTGAGGTTGCCGTCTTTCATTAAGAGAGCTGCAGGCAGGGGCCAGGTGTCGCGAGGAAGCCGGGGTGATGCAGGCAGGGTCTTGCCCAAGAAGAAATTGGGAGGGGTGGCACTCTGCAGGCTCTCCAAAGGCGGTAGATATGGGGCCTGTCCCTGCCAGCCGTGTTGCACTTTTGTGACGGGGCCTGAAAACTGGACTGAGACCTGGCAAATGCCCTTCTGATGTGAGCCACCAAACAGCTGTCTGACAGGGACAATAACAGCAGGTTGAACACTGGCTCCAAGGTGGAAGACTGCAGAGCACCGCTTGCAAGCAGGTAGAGGATCTCCGGGTTTGCTCCTGCCTTCCGTGCGGTGCAAACCGATGCGCCGCAGGTGGGCATCTCTGCTTGCTGAGCCCTCAGAAAAGCCAGCCCGGCTTTCTCTTTTCTAACGGAAACAGTTGCTGTTATCAGACCTAGTTTCTGATGCAACTCAACCCCCAGGCGAGGCACGGTGGGGAGGGAGTGACTCATGAGTGTCCAGGCAAGGAGGAGACCTTCCCAGGGCTTCTTTGTTTAGGACAGGTTTTAAGAGACCCGCTGCCTTCCCCATTCAGAGGTGTGGGCAGGCCATTTTGCGGGCCCCGAGTTGCAGGATCAGAGGGAGGGGACCACGCTGCTGTCCCGGAGGCTGGTGGGAGTAACTCAGAGCTGAACCTGCCAGGAAATCCTCTGCAGGAAGTCACGGCTCCTTTGGCTTGGGAATGGGCTGGATGTTGGGCCATCCTCGGGCGACGTCAGGGTGTGACCGTGCCTCGTCTCGCCACAGTGCTCTTCTCGAACACCGTGAGATCCTACGTTTCCTAAGAAAAGGCACCCACGCCAGTCTGTCCTAATGCACCTCCCAAAATTGCCAAGCTGCCTGGGTACAGGCCTATCCGAGGGAACGGGGCATGGCGTCGCCGCTACCGTCCTGTGTGGCAAGAAGGACTGGTCGCGTGTCCTTCAGGGATGACCAGCGTCTGATCCCACAGGGCCTGGAAGAGAAGAGGGAAGAAGCCAGCCGGGCCCAGAGAGAGGAGCCGGTGGTTTCTGCCGCTTGTGCAAGGCCCCGGGCTGGGGGCTGTTTACTTGTGCAAGGCCGGTGGGAAGTCTTGAGCAATCCCGATCGCTGAAGTTCTCACTTTGTTCCCTGTGCCGGGGCTGGGGTCGCCCAGCTCCGTGCTTTGCTTCGCTGGGTTCTGGGCTCTGCAAAAGGCTTTGGCGCCTTGTCCCTCTCCAGAAAGGAGAAGATGGGACTCAGAGCCATGGGCTTGTGCTTCCAGTCTCCCACTGGAAAATCCCAGGCCTGAAGTTTGCCTCTGGCTCCCAACAGAGGAGTCGCCAAAGCCGCAGGAGGAGAAGAGATGGGAACTGTCCAACAGCCCGCCAGGCCTTGGGTGGGAGAGGCGGGCAGGGGCTGCTCCGGTCCTTGCAGCGTCTCCTGCGGGCAGCAGTGGATGAGGAGCAGCCGCCAGCTCCGCTCCAGCCCTGTGTCCCCATTGCATGAAGTGGCAGGGCGTCATTTTGTGGTATCAACATCATGGTCCATCTCGCTTACAGTCACTTCTGAATCACTCGGGGCCTCTCCCTTGATGTCAGCAGGGGCTCCACACGCAGGGCAAAGAACGCCACTTTACAGCCCTGGGAGATGAATCATTTATAGCTGGCCGGTGCTTACGAGCCACTCAGTTGCTCCCCTTGCACTGGGAGGCTCCCTCACCATGCTTGCCCTTGGAGAGTCTCTTGATTACCAAAAGACAGTCTCACTCCTCCTCCAAAATGCTTTTGCGGGTTGCTGTGTGCAAACGGTGCAGGCAGCTTCACTGATCAGGAGGTGTTGGCCCTTCACCACTAAAAAATCCCCGTGATCCTGGGGGAAATGCAGGGCAACCTCACTGACTTAACTGCACGAAGGACACTGGGCCAGATTCTGGCCCCAGCAGCACAGGGATCCATTAGACCTCAGCACCTCCCTGGAAAAAGCGGCAAATAGGGAAACCGAGGCATGCAAACTTAGTGTGGCTTTGCACAACTCTGTCAGCTGAGCCAGGCACCCCTGAGCCCAGGTCCCTGGCTGCAACAAGCAGCCACGCTCCTCTTCCAGGTGCCTCGCTTTGCCCAGTTAGCCCCCGCTCTTCTTCGGAGCCGGAGATGGAGTCCGGACGTGCGGTCCCCTGCTCTCACTGTGATGCTCCTTCCCCTCGTTCAGATGAAGGCTGATGAGCGTGCAGACAATCTCCGTCCCATCGGGTTCCTCCCCGTGCGCCGGCAGCCCCCGCTTCCCCCAGCCCCTTCATCCTCTCATGGCTGTTCCTTCCCTTCCAGGACCTGCCGCGGAAGGACTGCCTTGAAGCGCCTCCCTCCAGCCTGGCGGACCAGGGTCTGTCCAGCCCCAAGCTCAGCAGCAGCCCCAGTGGCATGGGCACGCTCAAGCGGCCCACCAGCCTGAGCCGGCATGCCAGCGCCGCCGGCTTCCCCCTGGCCTCGGCGGGCACCCGGGGCATCGCCAAGGGCCACAAGACCCCCACCACCTACAGCCCCGTTGACAGTGCCGACGCGCCGTTCATCGAGGTAGAGGACATCCCGCAGCTTCTGACCTACGTGGCCCTCTTCGCCGAGGCCTTGGAGAAGCTGAGGGACGTGGTTCTCAGAGACGGTGAGTCCCGGGTGCTAGGGCTGGGGACACGCTGAGCTGAAAAGGTGGAGGGGCTGCTTCGTGTTGCAGATGCCAGGGGGAGAGGGGAAAGTGAAGGAAGGGGTCCAGGTGGGCTCCCCAGCCATGCACGGGGTCCTGGCACCCTGCACTCCCACTCACGCTGCGCTCAGGCCAGTGGGAGCCCCAAAATCGCTCCCCTCCCCTACATCTCCCAAGAGCTTGGCCCTGGGGGATGGAGTGGGGGTGCAGATGTGGGCAGCTGTGCCCAGGACAGCTGATCCCGGAGTCTGCACTTCCCTATTCCCTGCCGAGAGGCACGTGGTTCAGGGCTTGGCGTGCGGTTTGATCTGTGCCAGGCATTAGTCTCCAGGCCTTAATGTCAGCATGGGACTTGTGGTCTGCTCCTCCCAGCGCTGGTCACACCACTGTGAATCATGGGGCACTGCTGTCTGTGGCTGGGGTGGTGGAAACACCCAGCTGGGCCCAGACCTGGCAGCTCTGCTCTCGCTCCTAAACCCCAGGACGAGGGAGAAAGAGGGCTCCGGAGGTGGAAGGAGACAGGTGCCTTGTGGCACCTTCGAGCTGAACCCAGCCCTTGTTCCCAGAGGACGAGGCCATGGGGATGAGCCCTGCAAGGCGGCCACACGTGGGCCCAGGCAGGCGTCCCGTGGGCTCACAGATGTGGGCTGTCCCCTACCACCCTGTCTGCCTGGGACAGCCGTACAGGGGAGCCTGTGATGGGAGCCAGGCACGCCTGGCGCTGGGGGTGGCTCTGACATGGGGGTCTTGGGATGCAGCAGGCGACCACGCAAGGTGCAGGCTGCAAACGGTGGATGCTGCAAAGACGCTGGGGGCTGGTGGGAGGGCGGGTGGTTCCTGCTGCTCCTCCTGCCCTCCCGCAGGACAGGGTGCAGGCAGGGAGATGGGCCGGGAACCAAGGTGGGGAGGGGGAGCTGGGCCAGGACAGTGCGACTTCCTGCCCGCGAGCTATTTTCATCCGCCTGCCTTTCCTGTTTACGTGGCTGCTGGCGGGTGGCACCCGGAGGGAGCCCCCGGCCCCTTGTTCTCTGCCCCCCGCGCCGCCCTGGCTCGAGGCCTCGTCTGGCAGGGCAGAGCGCAGGAGGCGAACGGGCCGAGCTCTCGCTGAAGGGCCTGTGGAAGCTGGGGGGGGGGGTTCCCCAGTTTCTGCCCTGCCCCCTTTAAGTGGCTTCTTCGCTGGAAGACAAAGGAAACGGCATATCTTTCTTTTTCCGTAGCCAGGGTGGGGCTGGCAGCGGGGGTCACATGACGCCTTGTTTTTCGCTCCCGGTCATACAGACGCATTGCCACGCTCCCCTTGCCAGTGGAAACGGCAGAGGTGGCCCCCAAGGGAGGGGGCACAGTGGCACAGGGCTCTCCTGGCAGCCTCCCAGCAAGACCAGATCTGGGCGTCCAGCTTCCACGTGGCGGCGCGTCCCTTGCTAGATGGCCGTGCTCAGCACGTGGGAGCTGGGTGGGGAGGCGGGGGCTGCCTTCAGTCAGCAGAAAACCCCAAGGCCTAAAGCCCGCGGGGCTACAGGTTGAATGGGGCTGGGCAGGGCGACGGGGCTGGGCACAGCTAGGGCACAGCGGCAGGCAGCTGCATCTCAGCAGGCTGCGGCGCCCCGGGTTTCTCCTCAACACTAGGGCTGCTGGGACTGGAGAGCAGGCGTGGATACAGCCGGCAGTAGGGATGGGGTGAGCAGCTGTGAGGCTGCATGAGCGGGGCTGGCAGGAGTTTGGGCCTGGGGGGTGGGACAGTGATTTGGGGGCTCCTCAGAGCTGTGGTGGCTGCATCCTGGCCTGGCAGAGACACCAATCTCTACCTCCCCCTCTGAAAGTGCCCACGGAGAGGGGGAACGCAAAGGAAATCCCTTCCCCTGCCCTGTGTTTGACAGGCCCAGGCACTTTGTACCAGCACCCCCCTCCCTTCCCCACCCTGTGGCCCCCAAGAAGGCGGCAGCACCCCCTCTTCCAGGGCTGTCCATGGGGCGGCTCCAGAGCCCCTCTGCCTGCCCCCTGCCCCCTGCAGAGCTGTCGGCGTGTAACGCAGCCACCCCGACCCCACGGCGACGTGGCATCTGTCCCACGTGGCCCTCAAGGGGCCGGACTGCACCCTCAGGTGCCCCTGGGTCAGTCAGACTCCCCAGAGGCTGTGCAGTCCCCCCTGGCCGTGCTGCTGTGTGACGGCGCAACTGCACGGGTAACGGTGACAACACTGCTCGCTCAGCACCCCGCAGCACCGTTCACAAGGCTGGAGCAGGGGCGCTGTCTGAGCCCCACAGGGCAGGAGAGGAAACCGAGGCACGGAGCAGGACACAGATTTGCCCAAGGCCGGGCTGTGTATCAGTGGCAGAGCTGGGGAAAGCACCCTGGAGTCCCAACGCCCACCCCTGCTCTTCTCAACCCAAATCAAGCCCAGGCTGTGACCAGGGAGTCCCGGGGGTCCTGACTCCCTTCTTCTTTAATCGTGACGTCACAGCCCTCCCATGGGGGCTGGGGAAAGAACCCAGGAGCCCCGGCTCGCAGGTGCTTGCTCTGCCCGCCAGCCCACACTGCCGTGCGCTCGGTCGGACGAGGCGCGCGTCTGGTTCCCTTCGGGGAGCCGTTTCTACCGGCCTCCCTGGGGCCTGAATCCCAGCGCGGCCGCTCAGGGTGGCTCAGGGGGGGAGGATCGGGGCAGCTTTATCTGGAGAGCTGCAGAAGGGACTGGCTTCCTGGGGAAGCTCCCAACATCCAGCTTGCCTTCCTGCCAGCAAACAGACTTCCCAGGCCCCCGGAGCCCCTTGCGCTCGCGGCAGGGGCTGGGGGGTGAGAGGAGCAGCCAGGCCTGCTGCATGCCGGGGCGGTGGCAGCCCGGGGGAGGTCGCCTCCGGGCAGGGAGGGCAGGGGAAGGAAGCAGGGAGGAAATTCCAGACTTGCTTTCAAGGGGAGCTCAGCTACCGGGGAAAGACCGAGCTCTGCCTGGCAGCTGCCAGCCCAGGACTTTCCCTCCCTCTCCAAGCCCTGTCTCAGGAAGGCACGGCCGCCTTACCTCTGTGGGTATCACGCGAGAGCCCAGCGAGACGCCCCCAGACCCCGCTGGCGATGCTGCTGAGCCACACCCCAGAGCAGGGGGTAATACCCAGAGAGCTTCCCTCTGGGCTCTCCTTGAGGCACTGCCCACAAGGACGCACAGTCCCTGGGTTTTCCGGGATGGGGAAACTGAGGCACAGAGCCCCGATGGGCTCGCAGCCACCCAGAGTCAGTCCTGGCGTTCAGGGCCCGAGTCCCCCGTGCCGGCGCATCCTGTGCCGCCCAGGGAAAACGATCTCTGCTACCTCGTTCTCGTCGCCGCCATGCTAGCGAAGCCCTGCCTGACTGCCCCCCATCCCCTGTGCCGTGCTCCAGCCACTAGGCCACGCTGCCACCCTGTGCAGGAAGCTCAGTGGTTTGCTGAGGGCGCTCAGCAAGGTCTCCGTGCCCTCCTGCCAGGGCCCCTAGTGCTACCCCAGCCCACGCTCCCGTTCCCTGCCTGAGGCCCATCGCCCCCTGGGCCACCCTGCCACTATCCTTGGGAGGCTGCTCCCGCCTCGGGGGCTTAGACCCAGCCAGGCTGGAATGCAGCGAGCCCCTTCCCAGGGAGGAGGGGAGAGAACAAAGGGCAGCGGGCGCTGGACAGGTTTGGGGAGGTGTGAGCCAGGGTCAGGAGGCTGCCCTGATGCGCATGGAGACAGGGAGAGGAGTGGGGGAGGCCTTGCAGGGGCCGGTATGCAAACGCCCAGCCCGGTCAGTCGCTGCGCGTAGCTGCGGAGGACTGATGGGATCAGGAAGCCAAGGGCTCTGCTCCTGGGCTGGGGTGAAGGCAGCTTGGCTTTCTAATCAGCTGGATCTCCCAGCCTCTGAGCCCAGGGAGCTGGTGCGTGGCAGGGCTCAGCATGTGTCTGTGTGGGAACCTGCGCGCTCTCCTGGAGGATGGGCAGCCCCCGGCTTTCTGCCTGCTGCTGGGCTCCCGGGGTGAGTCGGTGCCGCTCCTGGGGCTGGGCAGGTGGTGGGGGGCCAGGCCCTGCTGCGGCTGCTGCCAGAGGGGGAGGTCTCGGAGGGGCACGATGGGCCGTGGTGACCGCTCTGACCTCTCTGCCGCAGACCATGTGGAGCCGCAGCGGCCCATCGCGCACGAGTGCCTTGGGGAAGCCCTGCGCATCCTGCGCCAGGTGATCAACAAGTACCCGCTGCTCAACACCTTGGAGACCCTCACGGCTGCTGGGACCCTCATCTCCAGGATCAAAGGTGAGATGGCCGCCAGGCCTTGCTTACGGCGGGTCCTGGGCAAGGGGTGGCCAGTACCTGACCGGCTCAGCTGGCCCCTGCTGGTATGGCTGCCTGGACTCCTGGGCATGCTGGATATTCAAATCCCGCTCGGGGCAGCAGGGGAGGGAGGCTGGCACCCGAAGGGGGCTCTGGCAGCAGAGCCCAGTCGGGACCTTGCTTTGGAAAGATTTCCTTGATCCAAACCATAATGGCAACAGCTCGTTTGCCCCCGGGAGGAAGGAGCAGCAGGCAAAGAGGTCTGGGGCTCAACTCCCAGCTCCAGAGGGGCCGTGGCAGGGTGGCAGAGTGGTGCCCTTCAAGCTGGCCTGGCTGCCTGGTGCAGTGGCAGTGCTGGGGGGGGACGACCATCCTCCAGCCCCCAAGACCGTCCGCCCAGCACCTGCCACGAGGGCTTTTCTGCCCAGATTCCTCCCTACAATCTATTCTGCAGGGGTCCGTGCAGCCCAGCACCTAGTTCATCCCGTTATTGGGATCCCTCTGCTGTCCTTGGCCCCCACAACCTGCTTGTTCTCACATGCTGTGTCACCGGCTCCTCAAGGTCACATGCCCCCTTTGCTGCTCGTTAGCGCGGTGATTAGCCACTGCACTGAATTTAGTTAGGGACCCCATTGCAGTCGGTGGAGTTAGAGCAGGGACAGGTCGATCCTTTGCATCTCTCCTGGGGGGGCCGGAGCCGGCTGGGCTTTCTGGAGGATGCAGCATTGATTAGCCACAGTTGTCAAGATCCAACCCCAGGGCAGCTGCTGGGAGAGGCTGGGTCAGGGCTGGGGGGGCCCAGTCGCACCATCCCTGACAAAGGAGCTGTCCTGTCTCCAGCGGGGTGTCAGGGTCTGGGCAGGGGAGGCGACCCTCTGGGCTGCAAAACCAGCCCTGACCTTGTCAGCTGGGCAGGCCTCACCCTGCTGCAATTGCCACTTCATCAGGGGAAAGGGCTGGTAACCTTCCCCCTGTGATTGAATTTCCCCCCCTTGGCTGGGGTCAGGTCAGCCCCTGCCATGAGGCTTTCTCTGGAGAGCTCAGTCCCAGCTCTGGGCTGAGAGGAGCCTGGGGGTCTAGGCTCCTAGAGTCCCAGCCCCTCGGTGTGACAGCACTTCCCCAGCTCCCACTCCTCTCCCCTGGGGGACCAGTTGTCCAGCGAAGGGTAGCAAAAATGCTGCACGCCCCCCTCACCGATCCAAGGGGACCACCACGCTTAGAGACCAAAGCGACGGCTAGCTCCTCTCCTGCCCCTGCAAGAGCAAGACACAGGCCTAGAGCCTCCTCACTGCCCCTGCAACTCTGCTGCAACGCCAGGTCCCTTCGGATTACATCCCCTGGCCCCTCCGAACACAGCTCCCTGTTGCCCCCCGCTTGGTGGGAGCGCTCACGCACGCAGGAGGCACTGCCAAACCTGGGAGGATGCTGCACTGGCTCCCGCCGCGGCACCT